AACAAGTTGCGTTTTCAATTTCAGAAGCTGCCACGATGTATTTGAAAATTGCAGGGCAATATAAACTGTAACAGTTTAACACTACAATTATACCATAATTGAAGAAGAATCAAGAAGAATAAGAATATTTAAATTAATTATCCTCCTTCCCTTGGGTGATGGACTGTTTTCCAGTTTGAGATTCTTAGCCCCACGCTCAACCCAAATCTGGAAGACCCGGGGCTACACTCCCTCTGGCCCCCACAGCTCGAAGTATCTGTTGTATTGTGACCCTCCAGCTCCTTGTTGGGCCTTGGCTGCTTTCTCAGTTTCTTGATCTATACAGGAATGGTAGGACTCCTTGGACGGGGGAACAGCCCGTCGCAAGGCCTCTACCTACTCACAGAACAATTCAACCACAGAATAAACGTATGACAAATATCCATGACTCGAGTGGGATTCGAACCTACAAGCCCAGTGTTTGAGAGAGTGAAGGCAGTTCTTGCCTCAGACCGCGAGGCCACTTTGACGGTATATTGATAATATATAATATCTGACTGTGTATTCCGCAAATTCAACTTTTGAATCGCTTAAGAGACCTTCAGGAAACTTGATAAAAACGGCATGGCACTGTAGGCCAGGCCTTTTCCGTATTGTCCAAATTTCTGTAATCAGCAATAGCAACGTGCTGGACAACCATTTAGTGACGTGAAAGTCATAATCATGTAACTTAAATTTAGTTGGTGTAATCAGTTTAAATTGTCTTAATGTTTGGTTACGTTCGATACAATTTTCTCGGGCTGCTACCCGTGACAGTTGTTAAAAAATTACCGATGTTTCAGGGACCATCTCTGTCGCCATAACGACACCAGATCCGAAAATATTCTATAAACTTCAGCCGCCATGACAGCTTCCGATTCTACGTACTTGTAGGTCCAGCAGACCACTGGGAATTCCCCCGTGGATTCGATCGGATCTCGGTCAGACTGAGAGACTTGCGTCCATTGTACCAGCAGACCAATGGGAATTCCCCCGTGGATTCGATCGGATCTCGGTCAGACTGAGAGACTTGCGTCCATACTACGATATTTTTCATGGTTTCTACCGAATAAGTTAGTCTAGAGATAACACTATAGATCATTACTCTGCAGATTCTCGGTTTGAAACTCGGCCCATTTTGTCCCATTTTTAGCCAAGAACTGAACGTATCAAAAAATGTTAATAAAGTTCCCAGTGTCATATTTCATGAAAATTCATTCCGCGACCTTCGAGTTTTTGCATGCTGACAGATGGACAGAAAGACATGGCGAAGCTCCTTGTTACGAAAGCATCAGCGGTGGAAAATGAATTTTAATTTCCCATTACGTTAACACGAATTGTTTTCAATTTATCTTCTCTAAACGAGGAGTTAATTCACGATATCCCACCTTTACTTATCTTTCCAAGAAAGATGTGGAAAGGCCTACAGACATGCAGTCGTAATCTCTTCCTCAGGCCGTGTTCTAAAATCAAGAAGACCCACATGTAACAAGCTGACTAGAGTTCACTGACGCGCCATTTTAATGATGACATATAACTTTCTTGTTCAAATCTTAAGAAGTTCATATCCTGGCGAAAGCACTCTTGTGTGTCAACGGCGGATTAAAAATGATACTGCAATTGCGTCAGGACTTCCATATCTGCTCTTCTTCATAAAGTTGCTCTAATAAGGTAAGTTCCATATTATGTGACGTCAGTAAGTCGTTACGTCATGATGCAAATCAAAATGGGGCCTGCACGCTTCAAGAAACTAATCGTCCCTTTGCTACAAGTCGGATTAAAGACGAGACACATCTCAGCTTAAGAGTGTACTTGCGGAATCGACAATTACCTCGCAGAAGCACCACGCATTCAATAAAGATTACTTATCTGCATTTCAACTAGAACATTCGGAACACGACCAGCAACAAACAAGACATGAATTCACACTTATACCCTCTCTTCGAAAGTTTTTCCGTGTTTATCAGCCGGACAGAAACACTACTTGTAAGCGATTGGATAGATGGATCAATGAATGAATGACTTCGTCTGACTCGAGCGTTATTGAGCCGTCTAAGTGTTCTTTGTTCCTTTATTGGATAATATTTCACTACATGTTTCTTTCTAGAAAGAAAACCGCATGTCAGTGAGCAGCAGAGTCCTCAACTACAACAACCTGTACACCTGAAGATGGCCACTTAGGCCGAAACATGTAGGGAAGTAGTGTCCAATAAAGGAATAACGAACGACGTTGCACTTAGAAGGCGCAGGAACTCCGAAGTCAGACATGTACGAAGGGGGACCCAAAAATAACCGGAAACGACCTGTTGCGCGCGCATGCTTTGTAGTTACGAGTTGTGCTGCTAGGTGGTGTTAGCTGGGGGGTTAGCTCGTACAGTGCAACGGGAGGCTGAAATAAAACAGAATGACTTAGTGACTGACTGTGAAAATGGGCAGGTGAATGGATATGTGGATGAATGTATCTCTATAATACATGAAGTAGACCTCAATTCAGTAATTTATTTCTTGACTCCGTGCCGGGACAGAGGTGAAGCTCCCAAGACAGATACTGAGGATCAGATGAGCTGTTGGTCAAAGCTGTCGCACACCACGGGAGAAAATTTTTGAGTCAGGATTAGAAAAGCAAAACTGAAGAAACTTGGTGAAAATCCTGTTCCAATGTCACTTCGTCTATATATATAACTACAAACCACTAAGTTTAATACAGCCATACCCTGGAGTTTTCAGTAGCTATAATATAGCCACGTGTAAGGGGGGTGCGCGTGATTTATAGACGGGTTTTTGGCTGCATGATTGGATTTATTGACACCTTATCCACTCCATTATGAACTACAGGTAAGTAAAATGCTATCGCTATTACTACACTCCACAGTTCACCGTTACACTCACACTAGGGTTCTCAGTCTTCACTAGTCGTATCCTGGCAACGGATTCCAACGTTATACCAGTGTCACAAAGAAAGTGTTCTTTGCATAGCCTAATTCCTTTCTTGTCATTTATTCACAATTATTCTTCCAACTGCCAACTCCGGGACTCAATTCAATTCTAATTCTAGCTGCGTCAGATCCTCGTTATATAGCCTCGAGACGTCCCCGGCAAAAAAAAACGCCACTTCCTCAATTGTTGCGTGTTGATTCACTGATGCAGAGATGTATTTAAGGCACAGTAGAGTGGCAACGAGAACGACGAGGACCCACAGAGAACGCCACATGCAACACCTCGTCTATTGTTGTGTGACTTCACTGCGCACGCGTATGCTGTGGGCGCTACCCATAGCAACGGCCGTTGTTTACAGAATCATCGCTTAGCAATTGTCTATACGCCACAGTATTTTCAACATTCTTATTTATGCATAGTAATATGGAGACGCACAGTCTTAGAGAAATCTTAAATTTCCTTCGCGATTGTCATCCTTTTGAGCGATCAAGAGTCTTTGACGTATGTAAAGTAGCACAAATCCAACGACGGGCCATTCCAACGTAGAAGTTTCGTAAATGGACAGTTTCTCAGTCAGGAGAACCAGCTGTCTAGCCTTCTTGCTAGACTTGACGCCAATGAATATTTCATGGTAATGTGCAAAGAAAAATCACCCATCTTCACCAAGGAACACGTACACACCAAATAACAGGATTACTGAAGCCATCACATCCAACACCTCTGATAGGTAAATCGCGTGTGGGAGAAGAATAATTTCGACCGGGTCTCACTTCATCACGGCTAGCAATGACAGGGAAATTTGTTATAATTCACTAAATTAAATTACCTATTAATTTACTATTATTAAATACATTTATATTCATGGAGGTAGGCCTAGGCGCACTGGAGCTGTAGTGCCAAGGAAAAAAAGTATATTTATTCTGTACGTCGATAGTCAGTTTTTAAACTTATTTTCGCTTATCCTGTGCATTCGTTTATAATTATAAATGAGTTTTTGTATCTTATTAAAGTAGAGATTGTGTTGCTCCATCGTCCAGCTCGCATTCGAGAGACAAGTGGTTCAAATTCCAACAAGGGACTGCACAAGTCTATCTGAAAATGCTCTTTATTTCTTAGTTGTTTACTTATTTATTGCTTAACGACGCTGCCGGTAGCTCAGAATATGCAGGTTGGAACTAAATTCGTGCACAGTATCTCCATAGTATGATTCCTTGTTGAAAACGTCGAAAATATTATACAGCATGTATCCTGAGATGCTTCGTTTTCGAGACACACGTCACCGTCAAAGGAATACACGACGAATACAGCGACGTGCTCCTAACCCTCGACACTTGCACTAGTCCAGTTATTGTTATTATTAGTGGGGTGAGACTTAGTCCACTTGACACTGCGGCCTTTATTGGACTATTGTACCAGCCCCAGATGATGGTGATTGTGGAGCAATTGGTGGAATGAAGATTGGCAGGGGAAACTGAAGTACTCGGAGAAAACGTGCCCAAATGCCACTTTGGCCACCACAAACCCCTTATGACTTGACACGGACTTGAACCGGGGCCGCCGCCGTAGGAAGACAGCGACTAACCACTTGAATTACTGTAAGACCAGTAGTCCAGTTGGCACTGGTGCATGGGGAATACACATTACATTATCCTAGTCGACATACAAGGTGTGTCCCAAAAGTCATGAAATATATATATTTTTTTTTTAATTTATTGATGATATCGGTACAAAGTGTTAATATTCTTCAAAGTACTGTCCATGAGCATCTACACATTTCTTCCACTGACTCTCCCATGCCCAGTACTCCCCCTCAAAGGCCTCGACGGGAACCTCATTTAAAGCTGTTGTCACGGACGCTTGGATAGCCTGAATGCTTTCAAAACGGCGTCCTCTGAGTGCAGTCTTGATCCTCGGAAACAAAAAGAAGTCGGCCGGAGCTAGGTCGGGGCTGTAGGGTGGCTGCGGCAGCGTTGCCACGTGGTGCTTCGCCAGGAACTCACGGAGAGCAGAGACGTGTGGCTGGGCGCATTGTCGTGATGCAGCCGCTAGTTAGCGGCGATGTATTTTCGCACGCGGATGGCCCTTTTCCTTAATCTTTCTAGAACATCCACGTAGTAGGGAGCCTTGACGGTCTGTCCCTGGGGTAGAAACTCTTTGTGGACCACACCCTTGGCTTCGAAAAAGACGATGAGCATTGTTTTCATTTTGGATTTGCTCATCTTCGCCTTCTTCGGTTTCGGGGAAGCCGAGGTGTGCCATTCAGCACTCTGGCGCTTCGTTTCTAGGTCGTACTCAAATGTCCACGTTTCGTCACCGGTAATAACACAGTCTAAATAATGAGGTTCAATTTCCACACGTTCCTTCAATTCACTCGCGATCAACACTCGATTGGCCTTTTGCTCGTCCGTCAACAATTTGGGGACCAGCTTGGCGCACGCCTTTCGCATGTTCAATTCATCCATAACGATGCGATGCACAACGGTTTTTGGAATGTTCAGAGTGTCGGCTAACAACCGGACAGTCATTCGACGGTCAGTATTCAACACATCACGCACACGAGTCACATTTTCATCGGTTTGGCTTGTTGATGGCCGTCCAGAGCGGGGGTCATCTTCCACTCCTTCCTGGCCCTCCTTAATCTTCTTCACCCGCCTTGTAACTTGCACATATGATAGGGCAGACTCCCCGTAGGCTTGCTTAAGCAGTTCGTGGGTTTCGGCAGCTTTTCTGTTGAGCTTTGTGCAGAACTTGACCGCCCAACGTTGTTCGAAAGTATCCGCCATCGCGCGCCGTGACGTGGTCACAAAACACAGGTGCACTAAATCAGCGATACTGACGCCTCCGATGCTCGAGCAGACTGACCTTGGGCGCGCTGTGAAGCTAAAGGCCTCTCCCCCTAACCCAACCGGTTCCAGCACGCTCCGACTAGTAGGAGCGCCGGAAAGAAATATATTTCATGACTTTTGGGACACACCTTGTAATCCAAACCCTAACGTGTTTCGGCGACTAGAACGGAGTCTCCGTGTGACGGGAAATGTAACAAGTATGGCACACGTGAATGCAGTTCGCCCACGAACTGTACGAGCAGTAGCCATTGAAGATCACTTTATAGCAGCTGTGGAACGAGAGCCGTAGAGATGCTCACGCGACCTCGCACGAGAAATGGGACTGTACCAACGGAGGATCATGCAAGTACAACTACATGACAATCAGTTCCACCCATACCACTAACTGAATAGCGGTGGGTGCATCTCCTTCCAGAAGATCGTCGTCTACGGATGGAATTTTAAGACTGGTTGCGGATAAGCCCTTTATACATAACATTCTGTGGACAGACATATGAAGGTGTGCTCAACGTCCACAGGTCTCAGCTCTTGGCATGGGATAATCATCATTCTATCCGCGAACGTGAACACCAAGTCCGCTTCAGCGTTTAGGCTGGAATCGCCGAGAACAATACCGTGGGCCCCTGCCTGAAGGGCTTAGTGCTTTATGATATCGTTGTTTTTGAAGATATGCCTTTATCTGTGAGGCAGAAACTGTGAGTTCAGCAAGACGGAGCTCCAACGCAGAATTAGGAACGTATCCGGCAGTGGATGAACACGACATACCCTGGAAGGTGGACTGGACTTGGAGGGCCGATTGCATGGCCTCTCCTGTCGCCGGATGTAATTCCGATGATTTTTTGTGCGTGTGGGGACACTTGAAGGAGGACATCTGTGCAGTCCTTCCCAGGAAAATTGAAGATCTCGTGGCAAGACTACAAGCAGCTGTGGCAACGGTCGATGTCAACATGTTTAGGCGTCTTCCAGAGATGCCATTAGGCGCCCTGCCGTCTGCCTTGAAGTGACGGAATCCGCTTCGAACAACTATGTTAACTATGAAGTGCCCATGGTTTGATCATTTGATGGCTTGAACCATTTGACTGTGACGTGTATCTTGAAAACTAAACGTCGCAGTACGTATGATGTACGATATTTTCGTTGCGATTTTTCACAAGGAAATCACGCTATTAAGAGCTCATGAGCGAATTCCTTTTTATCCTTATGTCACATAATCTTGGGTTTATTAATGAATAATCGGAAAGAATGTGAAAGCAAGCGATCGTGGCCTAACTGAGGCATTCTCCAGGAAATTGCCTGAAGGGACTGAAGAAAATCACGAATAGCCTCAGACGCTTCATGGGTTTCACTAAGTCCCGGCAGCTTATTTCCAGAATTGTCTCTCCTTCCGTAACTATCTATCAACCCTACAACCCCATGGAGCACAGTCCTTCAGAATCTGATAGTTGCTCAACTTGCCAAGGAGTTCTTCATCTTCAATGGAACTTGCTCCATATCTTGGACCAGATTGATCAACTACACACCCGAATTCAAGATCGATTTTAATATTATCCGTTCAGCCATGCATTTAACTTTCAAGCGCTTCTTGTCTTCAGGTTTTTCTACCAATCATTTGTATGCACTTCTCATATTTCCCATGTGCGCTACATCCAACTCTTCTAATTCTAAAGCCCGCCACTGCATACATGCCAGGTCAAGAACAGCAAGTCCTCATCCTCACAAGCAATTTCGAATGACTCCTTCTTTTACATCCTGTCTACTTGTTTCATGATCACCTTAAAATCCTACTTGAAGTTGTGTTATCATTTTGCAGTAAAAAGAGCGTCGTTAGGTAACCTAGGAACCATCAAGTGACGAAGTTTCCTTTGTGCGTGGATGCTGCCATTCAAGAACCACGAGAAACAGAAATTTCATCACGCCTCAATGAGCCGGGTATGGGGCCCTTAAAGGCCAGTTGCAGTAAATAGGCCTACAGGTGATCTGGAGTCAGGGTGGTGGCAATATTCCTCTCACTAGCCCGGGGGAAAGCTCGTACCCTTACCAGCACATCACGTCACTGCACCCTGCACCGCGATCGATAAAGCAGGCACACGTGCATGCGGGCAACAGTGGATCAAAGGTAATGCATTGCGGAAATGGCGAGATTTACAGTGACTGTGCCATGGAGTCGCCGATCACAGTGGCCACGGGGACTAAGGCATGAACTGTTTTCGCTCGCCCGAACGCTGAGGTTGTGGGTTCGAATCCCACTTAAGGCATTAGCTCAAGCGGTTAGTCGCTGGCTTCCCACCAGGGCAGTCCGGGTTCGATCCCGGGTCCGGTAAAGTGGGATTTGTGGTGGACAAAGTGGCGCTGGGGCAGGTTTTCTCCGAGTACTTCGGTTTCCCCTACCAATCTTCATTCCACCAATTGCTCCACAATCACCCTCACCTATCATCTGGGGCTGGTACAATAGACCAGAAGTGGCCGCAGTACAAGGGACTTAGTCCCACCCCACTAGCAATAAAAAAAAGGCATGGATATTTGTGTACGCGTATTCTATGTTGTGTTGCCCTGTGTGTAGATAGCAGCCTTGCGACAGGCTGATCACCAGAGTCCGGATTTTGATGACCTGAAAATATTTTAAAAATTAACGAAAAATCCAGAAAAATGACCTAAAATATGACCCAAAAATTTAATATGCAGGGTCCGGATTTTGAAGACCTGAAAATATTTAAAAAAATGACCTACAAAATGAACGAAGAAATACAGAAAAATGACCTAAAGGAGAAAAGAAAGAACACTTCGCTTCCATGTTATTAACTTTTCAGAAAACATATGAAGAAAAATTCCTTAAAATGGCCAAAAATGACAAGAAATATCCTTAAAAGTCCAAAAAAATACCAAAAAAATTACCCCCAAAATTAAAAAATGAACTTAAACCTAAAAATGTCAAAAATGACAAAAAATTACCTATAACATTTACATTTCTGTAACCAGCAGCTCATATCCGAGATTTGTATATAAAAAACATCGCAAAGGATACAAGGAAAAAAAAGATGACATATCAAAATCCGGGCCCTGCTGATCACTTATCCAAGGAGTCCTACCGTCTGTGTAAAAAAGATTACTAAACACTAAAAGAATCCAGGGCCCAACAAAGTGCTGTAGAGCCATTGATGAATGAATGAATGCAGTAGCAGTAACTGATTAATCTGAAGAGTTAAAATAATAACAATTATTTTCTGGTTAATGTGTTAGGTTTGGGAATGTAGGTAAACATTCATAAACTAAAAACGTGATAATTATATTGATGGTTTGTTTCTGGCGCACTTTACGCAAAGTACTAATTAAATTTAAAATAGTTTTTTATTCATTCACAGTGCATATTTCTTCCCCAGAAGTTAATGGTCTGGCGGTAACGCTCAAGACTTGAATTCTGGCGGTACTCCATTCGAATTTCGGCCGGGATGAGTCTCCTCAATTGGACTTCAGTGGTTTCTCCAATCCCTCCAGGTAAATTCTAAGGTAAGGCCGCGCCATAGCTCAAGCAGTTAGTCGCTGGCTTCCCACCGCGGCGGCCCGATTTCGACCCCAGTTCTGGTCAAATGGGATTTGTGGTGGACAAAGTGGCGCTGGGGCGGGTTTTCTTCGCGTACTTCGGTTTCCCCTGCCAATCTTCATTCCACCAAATTCTCCATCATCATAATCACCCAGGGCAGGCTATAATAGGCCAATCAGTGGCCGCCGTGCCGAGTGGACCCAGTTGGACTCCCCCCCCCCCCCCACTAAGCGAATTAAAAAAAATTCCAAGGTGGTGCCTCACTTGGACCACTATTGCTTTTTTCTAAAACCTTTTCAAGTCATCAGTCATACTAATATTGACACTACATAGTTTAGATACTAATATCGTCCTGAAATAAACAACGGACACCATTAATGATATCTTTATAATGAGCGGAAGCTAGACTTTAACCGTTACAATTCAGGATCATCAACGACAGAAAACAAACGGATCACTTGTGGAGCAAAGTCCAGGGATTAAATGCTTTAAATTCGCTCTACAGCTCCAGAACACACACAGGCTAGCAATTCATGCCTTCCCACGGCTTCCGAAATTCGAAGCTTGCCAGCTGTGGCATATTCATGGATCGCCTTATGGTAACCCCTTGCCTCTACTTCTACGCTCCACGACAAACTGTAAAGTTTATTTCCAAACGGCCACCCATTGGTTTCCTACTTTGTAGCTGAAATTAGACTTCGAAACACTGGACGTCTTAGTTACTTTGACTCAACGTTGAGGAAACCGTGGGGAGATAGTGATGGGTTTCTGATGGGATTGAGTCTAGGTATTCTGAAGCGACTCATACAGCTATAAGCTAAAGTGTGCATAATGGAACAAACTTCTATTATTTTTATTATTATTATTATTATTATTATTACTTTTTGGAATTATTGTTAATTTATTGCCATTATATAGACTCTCAAATTTGTATTTTGTTTTTAATTATTTTTGTGTATTTTTATGTACTCGTTATAACATTGTAATTGGCCTCTGTGCTGTTAAGTTTGCACATAAATAAAGATGAATTGAATTGAATTAGGATGTTGAACTGCCACACAAATAAGTAACAATTAAT